CTGGCGCCCATGGCGGAGAAGATCCTTCGGGCGGCAACGGCGGTGAAGACCCTTCGGGACGAAGACCCAAAGGAACAGGAACAGACCCTGGCTCAGGAACAGGCACCGGCGCAGGAACAGGCACAGACACCGGCTCAGGAACAGGAACAGACACCGGCTCAGGAACAGGCACCGACACTGGCTCAGGAACAGGCACCGGCTCAGGCACAGGAACAGACACCGGCTCAGGCACAGGAACAGACACCGGCTCAGGCACAGGAACAGACAGCATGGTGGAGGCCATCATGTCTGGAGACACTGGCTCAGCGGCGGCCATCTTCTCCATAGACACTGGCTTGGCGGAAGTGACGTGAACAGTCTCTGGATCGGCTGGCGTGACGTGAACAGTCTCTGGATCTGACCCAGGGAGCGTGCAGCCACTTTCGTCGCTCGGAGAGCAAGGTCAGTGGCGGCGCGCAGCTCATTAAAGAGGCCTGGGTCAGTCCTGCCCTCGTGCATGTCCCTGAGCATCTGGGTCTGGTAGACCAGCAGAATGGCCATGGCATGCAGTGAGGCAGCTCTATAGGATTTCGCCACAAGCATAGACGAAAAACTACAGGCTTCGGATGGGTGCTTAGGGTCGCGCCGAGAAGAAGCACTCTGAGGACACAGTAGGATCACAACAGAGGGTTCAACCGGGGGAACCCCAGCCCAGTGTACCCATGGGCAATGGCCCCGTCGAGGGGAGGAAAGGCGGATGAGATCAACGAGCGGTCCCAAGAAGACATAAGGGTCTTCCAGGACTTCGAGATCTCATCATGCATGTCCGAAAAGAAAGGTATTGGGGTTGGCCGCGGACGAGGGTCGGCGGCCGCACCCAAAGACCAATCGTCCAGCCGCGAGCACTCTTATTATACCCACGAGGTGGGGCGGAGTTGCGCCATGCAAATTCTGCAGACCCATGGCATTTATTTGCCACTGGCTCGTTTTGTAATACTCAAAGATAGGCTTTCTAAGCAAAACCCCATTCGTATTCATCCGACGTAACTCGGAGTGACAACGAAAGGGAACTCCCAATACACTTCAAGTTCAGGTCATCCTGAGGTACAAGTATATGCAGCATTTGTGTCGTTGTAGAGAGAAGAACTCTACTGTCCTCTCAGTGACTCCTCTCCTCTGAGGAGGCTGGTGGATGAGGCTGAGGCTGAGGCGACTGGAGGGATTGAGGAGGAAGGCCATCAGAGACATGGAGGAGCAGCAGGAACAGAAGGAGGCACTGTAATCCTGCAATCAAGTAGCTCTATAGAGTATTTGACTGAGAGAAAAGATAATGGTCGAGTATTTAATGTAATTTTTTCATATAAATAAGATTTCATGTTTGGAATACTTAATTTTTAAAACAAAGAGTAATTATGGCTGGTTCCCTATGTGCTTTTCCTTATTGTGTTTGGTGCAGTATTTAGAATAAGACAGTATGCAGTGTCTATTTATACAGTAATGCTCACTGAGGCCTGCAGAGGGCAGTGTGTGTCTCTTTTAAAAAAAACGGCTTGTCCAGACTGCTTATGTCTCTAATCTCTTAAAGTCTTATCCAAACCTCACTCAAAAATTATCTTTCCTCAAATCAGCTCGCAAACACTACTGAAAAATCAATGTCACAACCTGTTTATCACATCATATGCACATCCTGGAAATCACAGAACCTCTAGATCAGACAGTGTTACATAAAAACAAACGGGTTATCTGTCTTTCTTGGCACTTCAGTGGAGTCCGTCTTTCTCGTTAATATCTGTACAGTTCTAACTGCTAATGGTGCTGCTGATACTTAAATGTCTTTTTTTGTGTGTGTTAAAACATATAAAGGAGAATATTAAATGTGCTATGGTCTTTTCATATGTGGAGTCTGTCTTTCTCCTTAATATCTGTACAGTTCTAACTGCTAATAGTGCTGCTGATACTTAAATGTCTTTTTTGTGTTAAAACATATAAAGGAGAATAATTAAATGTGCTATGGTCTTTTCAAGTATTTTAGTATTTTAATCATCCTGCATGAATTTTCTAATATTCAAAATTAGAGACTCCCCACTGTCCAACACAATTTTCACCAACCCCTATATTATAATATTAACAAAACTATAAATATAAATATATAATAATTATCTCAGCAATTGTGAGATAAAACCACTTCTTTAATGAACCCTTGTGTGGTGTTCATATTTTTGTTATTCAGCCAGTGTTCGTGGGTCTGGTGGACCCGCTGCATTTTTGGGTTTTTAATTCAACAACTATTTTTCATAACTATTGATTTTTCATAACTATTGATTTTCATAACTATTGATTTTTATTTATTTGAACTTCATTAGAAATTTAACCTATTCAGGTCAGTTTACACAACACAATATATGACTTTTAGACGAACTCAATCGGAGATATATTAAATAATGTTCTGGCTCTTCCAAGCTTTATAATGGCAGTGAAGAGGATGAAATTTTTAAGCATTCATCATAAAAGATATCCACACGGCTCTGGGGGGTTAATAAAGGCCTTTTGAAGCGAAGCCATTCGTTAGTGTAAGAAAAATATCCATATTTAAAACTTTAAAACCTAAAATAACTAGCTTCAGGCAGACGTCCTACGCAAGTCGACATACGCCAAAAGAGTAACCCCTGACGCAATGTAGAAGTAGCGTAAGCTTTAACGCCTCTCACGGTTCAAACTAATAGGGCTGGGCAACAAACTCAAGCTCCTCTTCTCTTATATCGAAATCTTCAGACATTTCTCTTTCAAAATTCTCATTTTAGACCAGTTTGTTTTGCTCTATCCTCTATGCTTTCGCGTTCCTCAATATGTCATGCGTCAGGTGAGGTCAGGGGTTACTCTTTCGCCATAAATCGATGCGTCAGCCGTCTGTAGTTATTTTAGCTTATAAAGTTTTAAATATAAATATTTTTCTTACAAAAATGCATCGCTTCTCTTCAGAGGTTTGGGCCTGTGCCTGGTCCCTCCACCGTGATCCGTACGGACCAGGTCCCATGGTTCGGCACACATGTGATTTGCGGATTAATAGCCAAGTTTAACCATCAGAGTGAAAGTTTATCATTTGCATGTGTTTTGTCTTACCAATTTACACATTTTCACATTCGGTACTTGCGCGCTGTTATCTGTGCACAAAGCCATACACACCTGAAGCGCTCGCACACAGAGAGGTGTCATACCAACACCTAATTGATTCCTCTTTTGCATTTCCTTGCTCTTAAACAGACAAATACACACAAAATTATCTTAAAATACCCATTTTGGCAAGTATTCTCGTAAACACAGTTGGTTATGTCTTGTGAATGTAAACAGTTGTGAAGGAAATCGAATGTGTATCATTATATTGGATATTTTGCCCTGAAAGTGACATCAGCCTATAAATACCTGCTTCTGTCTGTCATTAATTGTTAATCAAACAAAACAGCTTTAACAAAGATTAATCTATAGGCTATTTAATTTATACAGTGAACACTATAGTGTTATTTTACATTTATGCCTATAATTATTACATTTCTGTACCTGAATACTACAGTTAGACCTTACTTTATTTGTAACTTTGTTTTATTGTACTCGATTTTTCTATGCTCGTAATTAGTGTATTTGTTCTTTTGTTTATTTACTGACTTCCCTCTCCCCAATTTTTTTTTTCTTTCTGATCCAAAAAGAATTCCCACCAACTAGCTGTAGATTATATCTAGAAGTATGTTGAAAAAATAATTTGCACTATTATATTGTTTTAAAGTAACAACTAATTTAGCAAATTGATTCAGTGATTTGAAATGAAAACTTTAGCGTAAAGTACTGCCAGGAAGACTCATTGTTACGTCACTCATTACTTTCTGGTCTATACAATCACTATCTAATATTTGGAGTATAAAAGATCTTTCCTTACACATGCAGAGTCCGATATCCTCCGAATGTGAACTATGGACGGGGCCTGTGCCAAAGAACTTTACCATCCAATATTTCTGTTTTCATTTTCTGGTCTATTAATTAATAAATGTTTTTGTGATATCATCTCGCCTTCCGAGTCTTTCTGGTAGAAATGTGTGCAAAATTGCATATTCTCTGACATTTTGCACAGATCACATTTCCTGCTTTCACACTTTGAAAACAACTGTGTGAAGGTAAAAGGTCTTGTGGCTTGTGCTTATGTTCAGCTTTTCTGCTGTAAGCTGGTTGTGGTCTGTCAGGACATCTAAACTATAAACTCTTTTATACACATAATCACAATAAAGACATTTATATTTCAGTTACTTCAATTACTACATTTCCATACAAACAATGAGCTTAAAAAAATAGCTTCAAGTTCATAACTTACCTGTAGCAAATGTAATTTAGCGTTATAAAATAGCAGAGCATTTCTGAATCAATTGTACTGTGTCTTTTGTTACGCAACTACTGTGTATTTTTTTCAGATGAAAGCACAACCAGTTTTTCTGTTTCCACCAAAATGTTAATTGTTAACTGACAGCTTAAGAAACAAGACCAATGTTTGTGTTCCATCACGCCTAAAAAAACAATGACATTAATTAATTGTATTTGCTCTTAGTTTACCAGCCCATTGAGTATTCTTGTTTACTTTGATGTATAATATCAAAGTGGATTAATGTAAAGTAACTGAAGTAACTCTTTCTGATAATCCTGGTTTGGACAGATTATCTTTGGCATTTTCTTTTTATACCAGGCTGCCTTTTCTCATCTACAGAACTTTGTGTGCACCACTACAAAACCTTTTTTTTTTGCAATAGTTCTTGTCCCAAAGTAAATGAGAATGATTTATGTACATGTATTATTTATTTTAAATAGACTTGGCATCAAGCACTGATCAAATCAAAGGTTTGTATTTTTTTCTGTAAGCAAAACTCTATATCACAAACAGAATATCACTAAAGGCCTCTATATGAGCACATGATTATATCTTATTTACTTCCGCACTAAATTTAGAACAACTGAAAACAGCATTGAAAAAGTGAAGTGATGTGGCCTTTGCTCATATAGAGTTCAGCTGTCCTGCAGTGAGCATCTGTATATGATGGGGAGTTTTCAGCCTTTATATTTTCAAATTCTATATCTTCTAATATCAGCTTTATTGGAATGCAAAGGTAAGTATCTTTATATGAAGTCAAATTCCTTTTACCAACATAGAAATATGCAAACATAGAGATATGCATATTATATGCATATAAAGGCAGCATATGTGTGACTTGCCCAGTGTCATTCATAGGCTATGGTTAATTATTTGGAAATTGCTAACGAACAGCTTCTGTTCTGGTTAGTATGTAAAAATTTAAAGCAAGAAAATTATTTACTGAGGACAGTCTATTTTTTTTTTTTATAAACTTTGTTTGGTGTGCAAAGACTTAACCAAACAATACATTTATATAAAACAGATATAAAAGTCAATGGAAACACTTTACAATTAGGTTCCATAAGTTAGCATTAGTTAATGCATTATCTAACATTAACAATGAGCTATACAAGTGTTACAGTATTTATTCATCTTTGTTAACGATAGTTGATAAAAAAAAAACAGATTTTCCTCTGTTCCATTAAGTAATAATAACAGAAATTTAACTTAAAAAACAATTTCAAAACTTTTTTTATGTATTAGTAATTGTTTAAATTATAATTTACTAATATTAATAATTGCTTTAGAAGTATTTTTCATTGTTGGTTCATGTTAACAAATGTAGTTAATAACTGGAACTATATTGTAAAGTGTTTCCAAGTCGATTTATGGATTTTTATACACTGGCAATCAAAAGGATCATTTCAGAAAATTACATTTTTTACTATAAACCCTGTGCTGGTTTCCTATCCATGTATCAGTTCTCTCAGGATGTCTCGTTTCTCTTTTTAATTTCCCTTTAGTTCAGACAGCGAGACCCTGCAAGGTCCATCGGTTGAACATAAACTATGTTCAGGGCGACAATATGACTATTTCTTGCCTAACCACAACCCACCCGCTGGAGTCTCTGACAGTGAAACTACGCAGAACAAACCCGGTTCAACACATCCTAATGTATTCAGACAACTCTCCAGCATTAGAGCATCAGAGATGGTCAGTGAGAAATGATGCTGGAAATGTTACACTTGATCTGAAAGATATCAGTTTATCTGATCAAGGTCATTATGAATGTGAAGTCTACAAAGATTGGGACTGCTTTAAAGCTACTCAATTTAACCTGAGTGTCATAAGTAAGAATGCATTTTTTTCAATCACGCTAATAATCCTCATTGTAGAGCCATATACATATATAATATGAATGCTAATGTTTTTCTCTGGTTTTAGAGTGTAAAACTTTGAACTCAGTTCATGCAACGCCAGATATGTCAGTTTTGCTGCCATGCTCTGAACATCCACTGCAAAACAGAACTGATCAAGCAATTTGGAAAATCGTTATTGGTCACCAATCAGTAGAGATAAGCAAATATCGCCCTCCACACAAGCCCTCAAACAGCACAGAGAGAGTCCCGAGGCCTCTGTATGAGAGAGCGAGAATACTTGGGAATGGATCTCTGCTTATAAGGGATGCAGTAAACACTGATGGATCATGGTATCAGTGCAGAGTGAGTGAAAAAACCTGCTATGAGGTGAAGCTGGTCATGAAAGGTGTGTTTTCAATCCAAAATTTTATAATTTAATCGAATTAATCAATATCACGCAAGCAAGTGCTGTTGTTCCAAATATCATGCTAACATTTATATCAATGGCACGGCCGTGATATTGCTTTTACATGACAGATCAATAAAAAAGTTATTTAGATTTTATTAACTTAAATTTTAAGCACAAAATGGCCAGGTGGTATAATTTTGCTCCACCAATGAAAATAGTGGTAAACAAGCTCTAAGCAGAATGAACTATTGCATTTCTGAGCAACAGATTCCAGAATGAATCAGTTTAAACGAATTGTTTGTGTGAATAATTCAAAGAATCACTTGTTGCCACCTACTGGCATAATAATAATCTGCAGAAAGAGCCACTGAAAAATCCTCACCACTAATGCACAAACTGACAGTCTACTTTGTATAAGACCTGGAAATGGGTTAACATTTGTATTTTCGTCTAAATATCTTCTGAGAATGTTATTAACATTAAACACATTTTTGCATGCATCACATATGCATTAGTTTGAGTCTCTAAAAAGCAAAAAATAATTACTATTAGGCTGCTGTCTTTATAAAAGGAATGCTAAATCTAACCCTAATTTTTAGATACATTTTTAACGTAAAATGTTTGAAATGTAATTATAGGTAATGGGACATCTCATTCGACAACAAAATTGGAAACACTTTCCACAACTTATCACACAGGTAAGACAAGCACCTATATTATGTGTGTGTGTGTGTGTCTAATCAAAATATCTTGATTTATTAAACTGATATTTAATATGCTCTTTTTTTGTGTCAACCTCAGCTTACAGTCGTGTTGTCCAGACTGAAGGCAACATTGATGCGAGTGCAGAAGTGACAACTAATCTGATAGCAGTAGTGATGACCGCGATAGTGTCTCTGTGTGTCCTCATATCACTGATCATCTGTGTGATTCTTTATTTCAAAAAAAGAAGGATCAATATCAACAGCCAAAGTAAGTCCACAACTGTAGTTCTGAAAAGTTCTAAAAACACTTTTGCTGTCATAGAAATGGCTTATTGGAAAGGAGAAAGGAAGTGATGACTGATATTGTAATTAGAACATAGTTTGTATGTTTATATAATACTTCCTGTTATATATTTATCCTTGACTAACTGAACAGTTATTCAAACAGAAACCAGGATCAGCTACACTGCAAAACCTCAAACATTTGCTTGTTTTGGAGATGTTTTCCTTCAAAAAAGTGATATTAAAAGTAGATGTTCCTTCTGCAATTGTAAGATGTGATATTAGTATGTCAATGTGTCAGTAAGGGAATGCTAAATGCTAAATGTATAAGGATTTAGGCGATTTTAAGTCTTATGGGTGTGTTTAGATGATTGATGAGGTTGTGTTGCAATGAGAAGTGAAATGCAGCCTGAATGTTAAAGGGTTAGTTCACCCAAAAATGAAAATTAAGTCATTAATTACTCACCCCCATGCTGTACCAACCCCGTAAGACCTTCGTTCATCTTCGGAACACAAATGAAGATATTTTTTATTAAATCTGAGAGGTGGATCACTGCTACATAGGCTGCCTAAGGGAGTGAAACTTGACGGCCCAGAAAGTCATTAAAGAAAATGTTTAAATATTCCATGTGCCTACAGTGGCTCAACTATAAGTTTATCAAGCGACGAGAATACTTTTTGTGCGAAAAACCCCCATAAATAACGACTTTATTCGACTATTCCATTACTTCCTTGTGGGCCTGAGACGAGAGTTCAAGAGATTTCCAGAACGCATGCGCGAGAACTGAGAAGAGGACGTTCTTCTTCTACTACTTCTTGTTCAGTTCTCGCGCATGCGTTCTGGAAATCTCTTGAACTCTCGTCTCAGGCCCACAAGGAAGTAATGGAATAGTCGAATAAAGTCGTTATTTATGGGGGGTTTTCGCACAAAAAGTATTCTCGTCGCTTGATAAACTTATAGTTGAGCCACTGTAGGCACATGGAATATTTAAACATTTTCTTTAATGACTTTCTGGGCCGTCAAGTTTCATTCCCTTAGGCCGTGTGTCCACCAAAGCGTTTTTAGCCAGCTGAAAACGCTAGACACTCTGCTGAAAACGCCTAGCTGTGGGCGCTTGAGAGCGTTTTGGCAGCACAGCGTTTTTTCTGTTGAGACGTTTCGTTGCTATGATACAGAATATCCGCAGCACAGTTTACTTGTAACTGATTTCGCAGGTAATTTGTTCCATACTAAAAAAATATTTTTCATCCATTTTGTTCAGTTTGCTCTGCTGGTTGATGTCGTTGTACAGAAAGAATGTTGTGACAGTTGGTCGGTGTGGTATTAGTCCCGCCCCTCCTCCACTGTGATTGGACGGCTGGGTAAAAAGTGACAGTGATGAGCGCTGCGTTTTATCCAAAGTTGAACATTTTTCAACTCTCGGCGACCAGTAAAAACGCCGGGCGCTCAGCGCTTCAGCGTGTAAAAAACGCCGAACGCTCAGCGCTTCAGCGTTAAATACACGCTCAGCGCCTCGTTGCGCTCATGGCGTTTAAAAAACGCGGCGCTCCCATTGAAAACAATTGAAAACGTACGCCAGGCGCGAGTAAAAACGCTTTGGTGGACACACGGCCTTAGGAAGCCTAGTATGTAGCAGTGATCCACCTCTCAGATTTAATAAAAAATATCTTCATTTGTGTTCCGAAGATGAACGAAGGTCTTACGGGGTTGGTACAGCATGAGGGTGAGTAATTAATGACTTAATTTTCATTTTTGGGTGAACTAACCCTTTAAGACAAGGAGTGCAAAAAAAGCACTACAAGGGGTGTAAAATCCATATCCCGGCCAGTACATAAAAATGTATCAAACCAAGGCACTCGAGAGTTTAAGTAAATGTATATATTTATTTCTTCATGGCTTAGGCAATGAAAAACAGTTTTCAAATGACCGCATATCGACTAATGAGCCTTCATCAGGGTGTGGGTGGCAAGGTCCTTTTAAGCAGCAATTAGTAAGTCATGTGACAATCACCTGATTACGTAATATAGAATAGTTACAAGAGAGAAGAAATTGTTAGATAAATAGAGAAGACATATCTCACCAAAAAATAATTAAACCCAATCCACTAAAGTGTAACAAATCAGTATCAAAAATGTATTCCAATAACACACACACACACATATATATATATATACTGTATATATATATATATATATATAATATATGCAGCCTGAATGTTGTCTGCATGTTGGAAAGAAAACACATTTTAAAATATTGTAACTTTTGTAATATAGAATGATGGTTGAAGTTGACCAGATGGTACCTCTTTTTCGTCTCTTGTAGCAACATCAAATTGCCGGTTCTCTGCATATTATTCCCAAATTGCAGAAGGTAAGTGACATTTGTTGTAAAATGTTTAGAAGACATATAAAAGTGTAACTGATGACAGTCTTTTCTTTTTTTTCTGACAGGATTTGATGTCCCATTGTATGCTTTAGTGGAACGAAGCACAGGAACCATGACCACCTGTAAGTTACCGCAAATTATTATTTATATCATTAATTGTATATGAAAAAGTGTCCAATCAAAATGAGTTAACAATTCAAACAGCACATTAAAAAAATCTTAAATAATTGCAGGTGGTCAAAATTAATTTTTGAACTTTATCTCCCAACAGTTGCACAAGAAGATCCAGCATGTATTGTAAACCATGACATGTATGAAATTTGAACATTGTGAAATTAATAATTGTAAGGCTTTTTAATGTTTTTTGACATGACCGTCTTTGAGTAATTCCTAATTTAGTAATTAGTCGCTAATTATAATAAAGGGGAAAATCTGTCATACAAACTAGTTTTGGGTGACACTCACTATGATTTTATTTGATTGTTTTTTAATCCTCTAATGTGAAACTGTTATTTTGTCATGAATTTTTAAATCCCTAGTTTTTTCAAACTCAACTTAAAGATGGTCAAAGCAACTATCAGCCATTTTTTATCACCACACTATCTGACTGAGAATTGTTTTGTGAAGGACAGTCATAGCATGATACAAACTGATGATTTGATAACTGATTCAAGAATTAGAGAGTTGAAGACATAAATAGACATTATAGATTCCAGTCTCATCATAGCAGCTGGTTTATCAAGTTTTTATATGAAGAGTGGAAGGTAAAAATATCATCAGATACAACACATTTAAGAATTAACAGTATACAGCGGTTGGGTTCAGTTCTTGTGAAAAGCTTATTGTGGTTTTCCATGTTATTAATATCACGTTATCGTGAATTAGTTTAATTATTTTTCTTAAGAAATCTGGACAGGTTGCACATTAAGATTTCATCATCACTTTCATGTGAAACCATCTAAAAACATCTTTTGGTATACCAGAAAAATAAAAAAACATAGGTAACACTTTACAATAAGGTTCATTAGTTAACTACATTAGTTAACATCAACTAAGAATGAACAATACTTCTTCAGCATTTGTTAATCTTTGTTAATGTTAATTTCAACATTTACTAATACTTTATTAAAATCTTGTTAACATTAGTTAATGCACTGTGAACTAACACGAACAAACAATGAACAGCTGGATTTGTATTAACTAACGTTAACAAAGATTAACAAAAACAGTAACAAATGTATTGCTGATGGTTAGTTCATGTTAGTTAATACATTAACTTGTGTTTAATAAATTAACCTTATTGTAAAGTGTTACCAAAACATATTATAACTTACTTTATGCACCATACAAAAGCCCTCCATTAAATGTTGAACCTTTTTGTATTTCACAAAGAGTCAAATCCACACCCTTCACACACACACACACAGCGTAAGAAATTATTGCTTAATATCAACTGTCACACTATTGCTATACACATTGCTGAAATTTTTAAAAGGAAGGGTCAGGTTTGTGAGTGTAATGCCCCCGGCAAATTTTCATGAATGACTAGTAGCCTATTACAATGAATGCTTTTTTTCGATATATCATTTAACAAATAAAACAATTTCAATGTACATAGCCTACAATAACAGCCATGGACAGAAGACCGTGCTGCATAAAACGTCTCTGGTTACTTACGTAACCTATGTTCTCTGAATAGGGAACGAGACGCTGCGGAAAGCGCAGTGGATATCCTCTGGATGTGCCGATTGCCTGAAGCCCTATAGAATCACGGCAATTCATTGGCTGATGGCGCTCGCGCAAAGCTGGCTCCGCCCCGACGCTCTTACGTCGTAGCATGATGAACGCGCGCGCGCCATCTTCTCCTCAGATTTCTCTGCCGAAAAGAAAAACTGTCGGCAGCGCGAGGAGCTTGGCAGCGAACGCAGCGTCTCGTTCCCTATTCAGAGAACATAGGTTACGTAAGTAACCAGAGACGTTCTCTTTCATAGGTTCACTCAACGCTGCGGAAAGCGCAGTGGGAACGAAATACCAAACTCGCCAAGCTAAGCGCTGCCATAACTGGTACCAGACCAAATAATAATAACAACCATGATAGGTTAAAGCAGATAGAACCTGGGAACCTGGAGTCATGTCAAGATCTAAATTATAGAACCTCACAAAGGTGTGCGGAGAGGACCAACCTGCCGCCACACAAATGTCTTCCAAGAGGGCCCCTCTAAAGAGAGCTTGAGAGGAAGCCACACTTCTGGTGGAATGTGCTCTGATGCTAAGAGGTGAGGGCAAACCACGCACCTCGTAAGCCAGCGAAATAGCGTCCGTTACCCAGTGGGAAATACTCTGCTTTGATGCTGCAAGCCCGCGGCGGCCAGCACCAAAACATACCAAGAGCTGGTTTGATTTCCTCCAACCGCCTGAGCGATCTACATACAACTTCAAAGAACGGACCGGGCAGAGCAAGTTAAGTTTCCTTTCTTCCTCAGAGGCAAAAGGAGGAGGGTGGAAAGCGTTAAGGTTAACAACCTGAGAGCGGAACGCCGTGGAAAGAACCTTGGGTACATACCCCGACCTCGGCCTCAAGGTAACCCTAACCAGGCCAGGAGCGAAGTCCAAGCATGACTCACTAATAGAGAGAGCCTGCAAATCCCCCATCCACTTTAGTGAAGATAAAGCTAACAAAAGAGCAACCTTAAGAGTCAGAATCCGCTCAGGGGCTGACTCCAAGGGCTCGAAGGGAGCCTCTGACAAACCCTCCAGGACGATTGACAGGTCCCACGAGGGAACACTAGGGGGTCGAGCCGGTTTTAGGCCCCTAACCCCACGCATGAAGGCCGAAACTAACCTCAGTTTCCCCAAGGGAATCTCATCTGATTCTCTATGAGCGGCAATAGCTGCGACATATACTCTGAGAGTGGTAGCGGCCGCTCCGGAAGCAAACTTTTCCTGCAGGAAATCCAGCACTGTGCCTACTGGGCAGCTAACTGGGTTCCTATCATGTGCTAAGCACCATGCCTCGAACACCCTCCACTTGGAGGAATATAGCCTCCTCGTCGAAGGGGCTCTAGCATTCGCAATGGTCTCCTGAACGTCGGTTGGGAGATCAAAGCTTAAAGGTAACGGCCTCTGATAGGCCAAACGTACAGCTTCCAAATGTCGGGGCGAGGATGCCATATCCTGCCCTGAAGCTGGGAAAGCAGGTCCTCCCTGACCGGTATCTCCCAGGGGGAGGATTCCAACAGAGGGATCAGCTCCAAAAACCATGGCTGGGACGGCCAGAATGGGGCTACCAGAAGGAGGCGGACTCCGCTCTCCCTCACTCTGGACAGAACCGCCTGGATCAGCTTGATGGGCGGGAAGGCATAGAGCTTCTGCATCGGCCAAGGGTGGGCGAACGCATCTATCCCCAATGGAGCTGGAGGGCTCAGAGAGAACCAAAGCGGGCATTGGGACGACTCCTGAGATGCAAAGAGGTCCACTTCCGCTTTCCCGAACACCTCCCAGATCAGGGCCACCGTCTGGCGGTTCAACATCCATTCCCCAGACCTGAGCTTCTGCCTCGACAGAAAATCTGCTGCGAGGTTCAGAATCCCTGGGACATGAACTGCTCTCAGAGAGAGGAACTTGTCCTGGGACCACAGGAGAAGGTGACGCGCATGCCTGTCTAGGGTGCGCGATCGTGAACCCCCCTGTCTGTTTACATGGGACACTACTGCCATATTGTCCGTTCTGACAATGACATGGTGTCCTTCGAGGAAAGGGAGAAAGTGGCAAAGAGCCAGGAAGACAGCCCTCAGCTCCAAGCTGTTTATGTGCCACGAGAGGGTCTCGCCAGTCCAAACCCCACACGCTGGCCTGCCCTCGAAAACCGCTCCCCATCCGGTCAGAGAGGCATCCGTCGTAACCATCTGGCGACGGAATACCGCACCCATACTGCCCTACAAAGGCAAAAGACCTTAACTCACCAGAGTGTGAAACTGAGAAAAATGACTTTAAAGTTTTTTTGTTGTCCAGCCAATTGTATGATAGGTAGGACAATGAAAATTTGCCAAGTAGTTGTCATAATGAATATATTTATCTACATTAAAAAATATTTAGCTCAAACTTGACCTTTGACCCCTATTCGGAAGTTACTGTATTCTGCCTTTGCATTATCTGCAAAACAATAATGGGTCATACAAAGGCAAAATACCTTAACTTCTAATTTATTGACCATTTTGCCTTTTATCACTCTATACAAACATTTCTATGATAACAACGATAGCCTTAAAATAACATTTAGTAAGTTCTGTCTAGTAAGGGTTAATATTACATCAATAGTTACAAAATATTACAAAATAAAAAAATTATGAGAAAGACCTTAACTCGCTAGAGTTTGGAACTGAGAAAAATGACTTTAAAGATTTTCAGTTGTCCCTCCAAATTAATTATAGGTAGGACACTGTAAATCTGGCAATTAGATGTTTTAGTAATAAAAATTATCTACATAAAAAAATCTTGAGCTCAAACTTGACTTTTGACCACTATTTTAAAGTTACTGTACACTCTGCCTTTGCATTGTCAGCAAAAAGTGAGAAGTTATGCCAAGGCAAAAGGCAGTAACTTCCACATTATCAATATTTGGTTGCTGATCACCATTAACAAAATCATTATAGTAGCACCTGTATAAAATCTAGTGATCATGGCATTTATTTTGTATGATTTACACTTATAGACATCTACTTATTACTACCCTGTGCTTTGGTTGCATTCTGGTGGCATTATTAATACATGAGACATGGCAAAATACCTCCATAGCGGTAAGATCTTCAATTGGTACCGAGTGGCATAAGACTTGATAAACGCGCGTTCAAAATGATCACGATAAAACAGGTCCTCGCGCACATTCGACCCGGGGACTCGTTTATAGTATATTCGTGTTCGAAGGTGTCATGCTCCTCGTACGTTCACGAAAAGTACGAAGTACGAACGCAGTGCTTTCCATCTTGAGACTCGGTGGGGAGCGCGCTCTGGACTACCTAGACGACTAATGCATTTATAGCACAACCTTCTGTGTTCTGCGTCTTTTCAGTAGCGGTGGTTTCAGCTGTCTGCCCTATTATTGTGCAGTGCACTTCGCTCGTCCCGCGGATTTATTCCGGACAGTGTGATTGTAGGTACAACCCGCTTGTAACAGCTTGTCTGATGTTGTATGCACCAACAATTCTTGCTGCATTATGTTGTATGCACCAATATACCGTTGTTGCTTCATTATTATCACTCTGTGATATATTAGTCGCGCGTCGGCTCGACCGTGTTCAGGGCGGAGCTGAAGGCGCCGGCGAAGTTTTGGCACTCTGCCAGCTAGATGCATGATTGTTTCAACCCGATCTGGGTGAGGCGGGGATTTAGTTCTTTGTTGTATTCACCTGCTACGGCGTGTGTTACAACTCTGCATATATCATTCGCGA